TGAAAAATAACCAGTCAGCTCCCTGAACTAGCCCACAGTGCCAGCAACCACTAAATTATAGCAGTGCAATTGGGAAGGTCAATTTGGGAATGAGTATGAGCAGCTGGACACGAAGGTTGCTGTAGCTGACCCTGCTGCTGAAAAAAACCAGCTCTAACTGCTCCACTGAGTAAGAGGGGAAAATCTTGTTTACCAATGCAGCCTTGAAGAAAACTTTTGTCAGCGTGGAGTTGTACAAAGTCTAGAGGTGTATTAAGTATGTAGAAATGTTTCGCTGGCAATCAGGGTGGAACAGCTAAACTAATCCATCCTAATGGAGGTGCTCTATGGTATAATACTGCAAAATTGATCTGTGCAGACTAGAGGCATCAGCCTTCCCTCCTTGTCTGAGACCTTGAAAATACAGTTATTTTAAGAGCATAGCTGCTGCCCTGCCCAGCCACAGAGGTTAAGACTGAAGATCCTGAAGAGGTTTTCCAAAAGTCACTAAGCGTTTAATTGCAAGTAGGATTACATTCTGGATAAGAAAAATTTGAGTCTAAATCCCTTGGAGCAGGTTTAGGGCATGAAGATGTGTGCAGGGTAGAGTCCTGCCCTGTGATTATCAGATCCAGCAATCCCTTTGCCTCTGTGGGACAAGTCTGTGTTGCTAGCACATGTCTTGCAGCCACAGACAAATGTCAGAGCTCATAAATGTTGCTGAATCAGTGCAGAAGTGCTTGCACCCACTTCAGGCTCTTGAGATTTTGGGATCATTGCAGGCAGAGGCATCTTCCTGTCTTTACCTGTGCATGTGCATGTATCCCATGTGTGAGTGTGAACTGATTCCCAAACTTTTTGGGTGGTCAATTCCTAGGATGAATCAGAGGCTTACTCTCTACCTGTATTGGTTAGATCTTGAAAGGGAAGAGAACTCTGCTCTCTTGGGGACAGTGACCTCATTAGACATTTTCTTCCTACCAAAAGAGAAATTTTGGTGGTAAATATTTTATTTGTGTTTCAAAACAAAGCTACAGCTGTTGAATAACTTAAAACTTCTTATTTCTTTGTGTCTGCTGCCTTCTTGGCTTATGAGATGATCCATTCAGTAAAATGTGCCATTTGGAAACAAATTAGAAGATAGGAGACAAACAAAACAGTTGTATCTATGCAATTAGGTTCTTAAGCGGATGATGCAGCATCATCAAAGTCCTAGATGTAGCTAGAAGCTGCTGTCTTTCAGTGCTACCTGTGCAGCAACAACTGGGTAAACTGTTCTTGGACAACATTTCCAGAATAAGATTCAGGAATACAGGTTCTATGATTCAACTCATATGCTAACGTTAAATTCCTGCTACAGTTTCCCCTTCGCTGTGTTTGTACATCAGTTCTGGAGTACACCATATCTCTGTTCTGCCTTTGTCAAAACATATGGATAACAAAGAAGTTGTGTCTACAGTGACAGTGGGCATGGCAGTGAGAAGAAAATACTGGGTATCAGTGCTAATCTATGTCAGAAACCAAAATAATGGATTCGTTGCTAAACTTGACGTGTATAAGTCACTAGACCTGTATCCTCATGAAGGAGAATTGTTTAATGGCTGTGGAAGATAAATTCATGTGACACAGCCTCTTTGGTCTGGCATGTGACACTTTGCACTGCAAAATCCTGCTCCAAGAAAGGTGCTCCCAGGTGCTCCCATCAAGCAACTTATACAACTCACTGCTTGGCTGTGAGGAGGCTTTGAATCAAGGCCTTCAGAAACAAGAAAAACATTCAAAAAGCTTCAGTGTTTTGGTTAGGTCCCATTAAGCTGCTACTTCCATGTATTGTTTTCCTGTTGCAGCTGGCAAAATATTTCTATGTGAAAAGAAGTGTTTCTTCCAACCTCCTTGTACAGCTTTGTAGCCCAAAGCCTGACACCGTACATGTTTTCACAGTGGTAAGTGATAACTTCACAAACACAGACTCAAAGTATTGCTGCAAAAATCAGACAGGAAGAGCCAGTGGGGATAAGATTGTATGTTAAACTGGGTGAAATAATGCAGAACGTGGTTCAGGGATGGTTTGGTGGAAGGCATTGCTCTGCCTACAGTGTCAGGGTTTTGCCAGAGCATCTTGTCTCTGAAGGGAAACATCTTGTAGAAGGTAGAGGCTAGCAGGGTTGGTTCCCTGGCTCTCTGGAGATGAACTGTGTGTCTTTGGCACATCGCTCTGCTTCTCAAAGTCCTTGCTCTGCAGGTGTTTACGGCATCGTTTCCCTGTGTTACAGTGTGTAGTTTTCGCTGGTATCGTAGGCTGTGTGAAGTGGCTGGGATAGGCACTGCAGAGTGAGACAGAACAATATCTCCAATAGGAACCAGGCTGTGGGAACACAAGGCTGAATGACCTCCTAGGGCCCTTGGGGCTATTCTTGTGCTCTTGTGGGCATTCATATCATGCAGACCCTTTCATAAGCTCAGTGTGCTCACAATTCACTAGTTGTTTTGCTTCCCCTGCAACTGCTAAAAAGCCTTTCCAGAGACTGCCTTCTTTTGCAGTTAAACTATTTAATATTGAGCAGAAGCTGTCCACATTTAGACTATTGCTGTGTTCTCGCTGATGTGGCTTCCCCAGGGTTTGTTCCCATTTGACATGCTTATAAAATGTAGTCTCATCTCTGTAGTCCCCTGTTTTTATTAAAGGAGTGCTCCAAGCTGCTTTGGTCACTCCATCCGAGAAAGGTAAGAGCTGTGGCGTGAAGCCTGTTGTTTCAGCCAGGACACTGTCATGCCAGTGATAGCTAAGCTGGGAACAGTGGTTTGGGGTGATATAAGCTGCATTTGCACTGTTTCCTGGCACTCCTTTGCCATAGGGGTTTTCCCATGATAGATCAAGTCTCTAAGCATAAACATGCTATGGAAAAAGGGGCTCCAATTACACCAACAGTTCCTTGGATTGTAACGCCCTGTCCTTTTGCAGTCAGCTGAGCATTGTATGCTGTAGTTTCATCTATTTTTACTTATAGAGGCATCTTTCAGTGTGAGGCTGTATTTTTAGTGAGTAAATAACATAGGTAGAATACCATGCACTGTCGGTTGGGTTTTTTTTTTTGTAACAAAGTTTGGTTTATTATACACAGCCCTCATGCTTCTAGTTTTTGTGTCTTTGCAGCAGGGTGGAAGTTGAGGGGGTGCTGCATGCTGTGACAGTTGGGCAGGGAACACGTGGGATGAGATTGGCACCCGTGGGGAGCTGGGAGGCACTGTGGCACTTGCATATTTGCCAGAGTTCTGGGAAACATTATCATTAGTTAAGCAATACTGATATTTAAGCACTCATCTTTGTTTCAGAGCCCTACTGAATAGGGACAGTTTAGATAGGGCTCCTGTTTCAAGCTGTCAGCTGCTACAGGAAGCTAAGATATAGCTTTTAATGATTTTTTCAGCCATCAGGATTGCAAAGGCACAAATATGATTTTCCAAGAGAATATTAGACCCTCTCTGCAGGGAAGGGCTGGGTTGGGGGTGGGCAGTAGCACAGGCTCCCTGTAGTCTGGATTTCAGCTTCTATGGCATGGATCTCTGTCTATATTTAAATTTCAGGAAGGCTACTGGATAAAAACAGATTTCTGAGAGAATCTTTGAGCAAACACATCTAATACTGGACATGCACAGTCACTGTTGCCAGCTTACCATTATCACATCGGGCTGAGCTGAGGTCCCAGATGGCTACTGCTGCATACATGTACCTCTCCTTAACCCTGCTCCTTTCCCAGAAAAAGCCAGCTCAGAAAGAAGATCCACTGCTGCAGGGTATCAGGTACCTCAGCCCTCTTCCAACACAGCAAAGCAGTCTCCAGCAATCCAGTTAATGGCAGCCAACATGCTCGGTGTTAATCTGTGCGTGAGTGGCGTGTTGGATGCTGGCCAGAGTGTTTGATACGTCACATAAGAAGGCTTTTTCGTGCAGTTCTTTTGTTCCTTTTTATCCCTCAATTTTGAGGCCAGCAGTGGTGCAGGTTATACTTGAGGCATTTTTGTGATCAACACCTTTGGAGAGGTGTACTTGCCTCTGTCTTTTCCCGAAGGCAAAAAGATGACAACAGTTACTTCTCACTTCTGTGTTTTGAACATGCCACATACCCAGTTGTTAATCTACAAATTGTTATTTGTTGGGGAGAATTTGTGCTTGGGCTGGTAGAATTTCTTGGCTGCAGGAAACTTCTATTACTAAAACTTCTTTTGTTTCAAATCATAACACAAAAAGTCAACATATGTATGTAGTTTATTGAGATGTGGTTTATTCCACATGCACATGGAAGAAAGTTGAGCACCGTGGCATCAATACTATAACGTTGCAACAAGAAGTTGATGTTGAAATTAATTTATAAATATGTTGGAACTAGTTGAAATGTTTTCCTTAAACTTTATATGTTAGTTTTCTTAGCACACTGAGATAATATGGACATGTTCCTGCAAAACACTTCATTCTGGAAAAACTATTTCCTATCAGCAAACGCACTTAATTTTTTTTAACCAGACTACTTGTAGCTTGGGGGAATGCAAACGCCGCTTGTCTTAGCCCCGAGCTGTGGCTCTCGTTGTTAATCATAAAATCATCATAGAATCACAGAATGGTTTGGGTGTGAAGGGACCTTACAGATTATCTAGTTCCAACCCCCTGCCATGGGCAGGGACAAAGTCCAAAATGATGGAGGGGATTGAATTGGTAGAACTAACCCACGGTTGAAGCACGACAATGTGTAGTTCCCCCACTTGGCTACCGTATGAAAATGACTGGCCAACATCAACTCTGCAAAAGCTGCTGTGGGAATTCAGCAGGAGCTGTTCCATCACTGTCTGTTACGTGGGGTAACCTGGTCTAGAAATTATGCTCTCACTCTCACCCCAAAGTCGAGTCCTTGAACAAAGCCCAACAAAGAAAAACGAAGAACCTCCTTAAGAGAGAAGAAAGGGGAGGAGAAAACGTCGCTCTCTGGCTGCTGCAACCCCACCTCCCGGTTATTTCATCTTCCTTACAAGGCTAAAGCCAGAAGCTTTCCTCTGTGCCTGGGTCCCTTAAAAGCGGGAGAGCAAGCCCCAAGGATCCCAGTGGAGTGCAGCCAGGATGCAGGGCTGACAGAAATGGGGAAGGAGGGACTGGCTTGAGCCCTGCAGAGAGCACAGCAGAGGAGGCTAGTGCTCTCCAGAGAGGTGTGACAGTAACCTATGAATCCTAAACCAGGTATTCAGTGATGCAGATCTTCTAAAGAAACGTGAAACCAAACCCAAAAAGAAATCACTGAGGGGGAAAAAGTGCAACATGAGAGGTAAATATATTTTTCCTTGGGATAAACAGAAATAACTGGCTTTATTTTGTTTGAAAATCATCATTGTAAGTAGGTGTCTGAAGCTGCAGACTGAAAAATGCATTTACTAGCATCTGAATAAAGACTGGTCTGACTGTATTGGAAAGCAGCACTGGGTTAAAAACTCAGATGAAGAAATGTTGAAATTACTCTTTTTAAAGCTTTGTAAAAATCTACTTTTCTGTTTTGCTCTCTCTGCTACTCCTAGAGGTTTTCAAGAAGTAGTATGCACGTTGCTTTGGGGAAAAAGAGTGGCAGAACCAAAACCTAAACTGAGAATGTGGTAAACTGTCTCTATTGAAACATTTCAAATGCTCCCATACCCCTATTTTTGCAATAGTGCCATTTCTTCAGACAGATCCATGACCTACTGAGCTGGAATGTCTGTTGACATCTGGTTGAGGTAACTGTAGCTGGTATTTGGGATTCCTTTTTTTTTTTTTCCAGTTTAATTGAAACAAGCTGAGATTGTCTACACATTCAATGAATTGCTTCCATGCTCTTTGTCTCTTTGACGGGTAATTCTAGAACTGCCAAATCTGAACTGGAAAAGAGGAAACACCTCGAGAGTTCAAAACTGCAGCCCTTCCACTGCTGCAGCCCTGACCGTGCTGCCAGGGTTCTTGAAGGGAAGTTAGAGTGGCCAAAAGACAAAAGACTTTGACCCTTGTCTGTAAGATGGACCGAGACAAATGCGATACTACTGACTTTAGTGTAACTGTATTCTTGGGCTTCTGAGTTACATCTTTGCGATGCTAGAGGACTTACAGATGCTTTTATTCACCAGGTAAAATGAAAAGGTGGCCCGTGGAGAAGAGCTGCTGGGAGTTGTGACAAGCTACAACACCAGAGGATTGCTCACCAAAGGCATTGGCTGAGCCTTCCAGCCAGCGCGTGCAGAGGCGTGGGTTCAGCAGTTGAGGATGGAAGTGCTACGCCGTTCCTCAGTCTTTGCTGCAGAAGTGATGGAGGTTTTTGACAGGTCTCCCACTGACAAGGAGCTTGTGTCCCAAGCCAAGGCTCTCTGCAGAGACTACATAAACTCGAGGCTGATTCGGGCAGGTGTCAGCTGGAGCAAACCCGAGTACAACGTTCCGGTGCCTGGGGGTAAGCTGGCCGAGGTGTCCACCATCCTGCTGCGACTAGGTGAGTCCCTGCTGCTACGGGGGGGAACTGAAACTTTGTGGAGCAATTTGCACCAGACTGAGGTTTCTGGAAGAGGCTTTTCATGTGATGATAGAGAGGTTTTTCTTTCCTGCTTGGGGCGTTTAGTTTTGGTTTTGGTGATCTTCCCTACACAGCTCCGTTGCTTGGGTTTTCTCATGTCCCCTGGAGCACTGCTCAGCACAGGGTTTCTGCAGAGCTGCCTTGTTCTGAGGACTTGCAACAACTCAAAATCGTGATGCAGTCCAAGAAAGCCCAACAGCAAACTAATTCTGTCTGCACAGGACTCCAGCTGTGTAACAGTTGTCACAGTATTTCCAGCAGTCTTTCTCAGCTGGGCATTTTAAGCAGTCTTGTGGAGTTTTCTCCAGACCTGAGTGACTTGGCTGCCATGCTGCAATCTGGCAACCCAGCCTGGCATCTAGTAGAGCACTGCTGCCTCTAGACTTGGGCTTCAGCAGTACCTCACCCACCTGCAAGGACCTTTAATTTGGGGGTAGTTGGCTTACAAAATGTGCATTGCAGATTTTATGAAAGCTGCTTTTGAATGACAGTGTGTTTTTAATTCTCCTTTGTCTACCTTAATCATTCTGCCAGACCTGAGTTTCTTGCTTTTTGCTGGAGCAAGGAGGAGTTGGCTGATGTTGCCTGTCATATGCTGCCATTTGGTGCCCCCCTCATGGCACAGCAACTGCGGGGGCTGCAGGGAGAGCAGTTTGAAGGTCATGCCTGAAGGCTGTGATTTGAAGACATGCTCTAGAGCTGTGCGTGTACCAGGAACACCCTCTAATGCTGTCAGTTGCCTGGCCTTTTGTTTTGGGTTATAGCATCCTGTGTGCTCCAGTCTAGCTGTTTGTCTTTTGGGATCCCACCACCCTCATTCTCGGAGTTGCTTCCAACATCCCTCTTTGCCTGGAGGCTGGTGTTTTAGTTCACAGCTGGCTTGGAAACTACCACCAGCATTCGCATCTGATTTAATTACACCAGAGTTCAAGTAAGTCTGGTGAAGTAACCTTTAGCTGGGCCTAACAAACTCAGGACCAGGGCTGCTCTCCCCACTTTCTCCCATTTCTACTTCTGTTTAATTTTATCCCAAGTTTCTTTTTAAGGCATAGACGTGTTTCTTTTAACTGACTTTTTTTATTTTAATTTGTTCTTTTTCGCTTTTTCTTTCCTATGCTGACTTCTGTTTTTGTTTCCAGTGGTTGTTTGGTCTTGGGGCAAATTTTTTTTTCTGTTCTTCTGTCAATATTGCTGCCCCTTTGTCCTCCCTTTCTGCCTGGATTGAGGGTTGAGATTTATTTGCTTTCAGCCAGATCTTCTGTGGGTGGCCAGGAACATGTTAAAGGGCAAGCAGGTGGCACACTGGATCTGAAGGCGTCTCCTGGATGACTCTTCTATTACTTATCTATGTCCAGATGGAAAGATTTGGCTGATAGTCTTCAGAACTTGGCGCCTTCTCTGAGCAAATCTGTTTGGAGAGCAGCATGTGGTACCTATGCAACAAGAAGGCTGAGCGGTTCCTCCTCATTAGGATGAAGAGTTGTGTCTGTCCTATTTCTTCAGAAACTCCACTTGCCACATGGCCTATCCCTTTCTTTTCCCCTTTGCTGCTCTCACTGGCACAAAGCCGAGTGGTATCCAGCCACCTGCCAGGAATGGTAGTCCTTAGCCACTTCCTAAGCAGTCCAACAAGCCAGGCCAGTTTTTTCTGCCGTTATAGTGCTAAGAAGCCTGTGGAGATGAGAAGTTGGAGGATTTGCTAGCTGTTTTGCATGTAGAGAGTCCAATGAACTGACTGATGGGCCAGCAGAGGTGCTGGGCACAGGCAATGCAGTTGCGGTCTTGGGGAGCGAGAGCCCATCAGCTCAGTGAGGCTTAGCAGCCAGTTAGTGCAATTAATGAGTCAGAAGTGGTAAAACCTAATGATGTGGCACCCCAGACCAACCTGCTGTGTGTGTCAGAGGCCTGGTTTATCTGAAGTTGTATTTCCTCTGGCCAAGGCCCGGGGAAGCCCTTTGACCACTACAGTGAGCTTCTGCACATGGGAACTGTCACTGCTTCCCTGCTGACTCCTCCATAGTCACTGGAGGAAGGAGGAGAAGCCCCAGAATTGCTCTAAATGTTGCGAAGTCGGACATCTGAACAAGGGCACTGCAGACCAGCACCGATGTAACATGCTGCAGGAGAGGTCCTGGGACTGCTGCTGGGACAGGGAATGCTTTCCTTCCCCAGATGCTCCTGTCTGCCCTGTGCCTTGCTCTAGGGTGGGGCATATGTGCCTCCAAACAGACCCTGATCTCATCTGGGGCCTCCAGGCACTGCTTATTAGCAGCTGTAACAGTGGCAGGCTACCAAGTGCTGATCCCAGCCTCCCATGCCTCCCTCTCGGCTAACTAGGGCTATCCCCATTTCCTTCCATTTACCAGGAAGCCTTTGTGCTGCCTGTGAGGAGAAAACAGCTGTTGAGTAGTGCAACTAAGGTTTCTTCTTATCACGGCTGACCATGTGTTGGCAGGATTTCCTCTTGCCATTAGACTGGGACAATCCCACACTCAGAAAGAGCCAGGAGAGCTCAGCTGTGGAATTCTGTAGAGCTGGGTTTTGACTGTGCTGAGAGCCAGTTAAATGAATTAAGGATCAGTAGCTAACGACTCTGAAACAAGCTCCTGATTGTGGTGGCATCTTCCTTTTTAGTTCCCATACAAACGAAATTTTGAGGAGGATCAGTTGCCCTCTGGCTGGGACAAGTCACCTGGATCTTGCAGTGGGATGTAAAGCTGTTGGGATAGCTCTTCCTCTTCCCAGAGCGCCCTTGTGCAGAAGAGCACAGTGTGTCCTAAATCTAAGTCAAATAGGACTCTCTGTGCACAAAGGGCCTTGATCCCATGTGATGTGTTGTGTTATGCTCCTACAGCAGCTATGAAACCTTCATTAAATATCTGTGATCCCCCGTAGAGAGAGAAATCCCTTGGAAACTGGGCTTTGTTAATTCTACTTCTCAAAAATGGTTAGTTTTGCTACAGAGGGAAAGCTTTACTGTTGTTTCCCCAGCTCCATTGCTCAGTCCTGTGGGAGGAGGTTCTCTGTTTGTCCTTAGTAATTCCATCTTGGTCTTCAAGCTGGCCTAACACCTCCAGCCATTTCCCAGCTGGGGAAGAAACACTGTGGAGGTGAAAGCATGTGTCTGTATGTGTCAGGAACTTTGCTGCTGAGGAGTCAGTCATGCAAATGAACTTCTCTTTAACCATTGGGAGGAGAGAAAGAACTCCAGATCAATGCTCTGCCTGTGTGAGTGTAAAATAGCTGAGCTGAGAGTCTCTTTGCTCAATTAATGTTGTGCAGCTCTGGGTGGATCCTTGGCTTTCATCAGCCTCCAGCATTCTTGAGTTGCTCTCATGTGCTTTCAGGCGTTTTTGTACAAGCCTGATGGGGTGCTGGGAGAGGGCGTATCTCCCAAAAGCTTACATGGATGTACATGCCTCTTTCTCGTTTCTGAAATAAAATGAGACAGCTTTGCTTATCTAGAGACTGTCTCCTGTGTTGAAGGAAAGCCAGGCAGCCAGCCTGGGAACAACATTTCAGGGATTACTGCAGCTACATCACTGACACAGGGCCATGGGCTGTCCCACTCTGTGGGGAAGTGCCAGGGGATATTGGGAAAGGAGGGTGCAGGTGGTAGGGAATTGCATCTAAACGACCCTAAGCACTCTGCTGCCTGCTTAAACTCAGGTGGAGCTGGGCTTCAGTCTGTTTGGCTGCAAGGATCTGTGGGGTGGCCCCAGTCGTGATTCCTACACCAGGACTTGGTGTTGTGCGTGCTGACTCCTGGCTGTTTGTTTCCAGGGGACGAGCTGGAATACATTCGCCCCAACGTGTACCGGAATATCGCCCGCCAGCTGAACATCTCACTGCACTCGGAGACAGTGGTGACCGACGCCTTCCTGGCAGTGGCTGCCCAGATTTTCACCGCAGGTACTGTGCCCAGACAGATACACAGACAGGGCTGGGTGGAAAAGAACAGGATGGAGCCACCTGTCTCGGAGAAGGCATGTTTCTGGGATAGCCTGCAAGGTGGGGCCTGGTTTCTGAAAGGGCTGTGGGCAGTTTGGCAGCGTGCCCTACTTTAATGATTTAATGAGAGCTCCTCTCAGCTCTGTTCTGGCAGGGAAATGCCCTGTGTTGTTATATCCTCCCAGCAGGTTCTGGCTCATTCTAGAAGGCACCTCCAGCCCTTCCTCGACAGGAGGTGGTGTTACCTCATTGCATGGGTAGGTCACTCATTCCAAGCTCCTTTGCTCACCATTGGCAACTGCAGAAGATTCATTGTATGGGAGTCTCCCTTGTTCCAGCTCATGCTGCTGATGCTGGGAGCCAGAACCAACTCATCACAAGGGAGTTCCTCTCCTCCTGGCTTCCTTTCCCACAGCAATAGCCAGAACTGCAATGGAGTCTGATGCTTCTCCTTTCTCATATTGGTAGAGTCTTGGCCCTGAAGGCTGTTCCAGATGGGCAGGTACTTTGAACTTTCTCCCTGCTTAGATGTGAGTGTTCTGCTGCTGCTGTTAGACTGGTTCCAGCAATGATGGTCAAAAGCAAAGATATGCCCTGTGCTGTGTTCCTGCAAGGGTACCTCAGCTTCCCCTGGAAACAGTCCCTGCCAGTGACTGGAAATGCAGCCTCTGGGAATTGAGGGAAGAGAAACCTTTCACACAGACATTTATGTCAGGCAGGTCCTGACATCATCCTAGGTTTTCTACAATGTCTTGTGCTGTCTGTGGAAGGATAGTAGATCTTAGAGACTGGAAACAAAACCAAATAAAAGGAAAAACAACGAAAGACAGCAACTTGCATAGCAGTGACAGGAACCAGTGACAACGACCTGCCAAGCGTCACAGGACGCAGTGACTCTTGTCACATTGGGAATAGTTACTACAGTGTAGAAGTCTGGGTTTTTGTTGTACTTTCAATCAGGCTTCCTCACTAAAAACCTTTTTATCTTCACAGTCAGCTGTGCTTCTTTATGCGGAACCACTGACACCCTGGAGAAGCCCTGACATGCAGAACGTGTGAAGTGTGTTGTGGTGGAGAGAACAGATCCTCCCTAGAATCACAACAATGGCAAAATAGATCTCTGAGAGGCACTACTCAGGCACAGCTTCTGGCAGGTCAAGCAGGGCAGATTTACTCCCTGAGTTAGGGAAATTGATGCTGTGTCATAGGAAATGGATGGAATTGGGTTGGGTGGCCAGTCCTGCAGCCCTCAGCAGTCTTTCAGAGCTGCCTGGGATGCAAATTGCCTTGGCATGGCGCTGGCCTGGGAGACTCTGTGAGCTCAGAAAGCAAGAGCCGGGCAAGTATGGCAGGAATGTCTGAGTGTGGCTGTGTTCAAAGGGCAGGTGCCCTGTCTTGTCACCTGGTGCTGAGCTTTACCTGCTTAAAGGCTTACAGAAAAACAAGGGTCAAGTTGGCAGGCTCAGGTATTTGCATTGCAGGCAAGTAGGTGATCTTCTTAGATGACTGTAGCTGACTGCATCAGAACTGGCCCACCTCCAGAGCTGAAGTGACACAGGGACCTAAGCCAGAAAGGTGGATGGCTGCAAGTGGAGCAGACTGTGTGTGCTGCTGTGCTGCAAAAACATGATGCTGGGGAGAAAGCCCCGCTGCCTTCTAGGAATCCTGCTCTGAATGCACATTGACAAATTCATTGAGAGCTGCATTTTTGGTGCTCTTCAACTTCTCAGCTCAGGAGTCAAATGCAAGGTGTGGATGGTTTAAAATTAAAGCTAGAAATTATAACTCTTGGTACTAAACTCTTGGTTTTCAGGGTAGCAAGAATGGAATCTGAGCTCAGCGCTGTGAGGCTGGCAATGCTGGAGACTTTAGGAGCATAGTAGAAACCCAGGCTCAAGCTCTGTTGCCAGTGCTGCACCTTCTCTGGGGACACGGTGCTGCAGAAATGGCTGGCAGTGGGATGGCTGCACAGGGGGTGGATTCAAATCTTCCCAGTGCCCTCTATGCCCCATTTTTAATTCTTTCTCGTCTCTGTCACTCTGCTGGGGGTTGTGTATTCAATTGCTTTTATCAACTTGTTATTGTAATTTGGGTTGGTAGAAGTTGCTGAGTGGCAGAGGAGTATGCTGATTTTTAACGTTCCTGGATCCCACTGCAGTCTCAAGACTCAGCATTTAATGCTAAATCCAGCAAATCAGAGTTGGCTGTGACAACCAGACATTCATTCCTTACTTTTTTTTCATAGTTCAGAGGAAAGAGGCTCTTATTGAGCAAAGGAAACCAGACACTCAAGTTCTGTCTGAATTTTCATGACAATTACCAAGGGCTAAAACATCTCAGGCTGTTTTTCACTGTACAGTTTATTAAGAAAACAGCTACAGTCTGGCACTGTAGTGCCTAGACAGCCTGGGGAGCCCCACTAGTCACTCACAATGCCTTTGCAGTAAGGGAGCGGAGGATTTTGATCCTTTCTTGCTGGAGAGGTTTTCTCCCTTATCTTTCATACGTCTGTCTTCCACACTCTAGTCTGGTTTTGAATGCTGTGTAGCTCTGGCTGTGCTCATTCTTGTCCATGCTGTCTGCAAGTCTTGTCTGAGCCCTGGGCAGCCTGTTTCAATGCCTGACCACCCTTTCAGTGAAGAAATTTTTCCTAATATCCAATCTAAACCTCCCCTGGTGCAACTTGAGGCCATTTCCTCTTGTCCCGCTGCTTGTCATCTGGGAGAAGACACTATGGTAAGGCTCAAGCTGTGTTTTGCTCCCCTGTTTCCATATAACCCATTAGTTCTTCAGGATGAGGAGAGCTCATCTGTGTGGAGATGTGCACCCCAGAGCCCTGATCTGCTTTGGATGGTGAAGGATCTGCAGCAGCATCACCTCTGTGATGTTACTGTTGGTTCTGGTGTGTGGTTCAAAGCTGCTCTGCAGGCAGCAGGAGACTTTCCCCTGACTTTAATAGGCTGTGGATTGGGGCTTAGCTGAGCTGGCATTTACACTAGCTGTTCAAATAAATCCCAGAAGGAAGGGGTCACTTGGTGGAGAAACAAAAGTAGAAAAGGGACATGCGTTTTCCTTTCCTAAGGAAACAGTTCCCTGCTGTTCGTAAGAGCTGCTAGGCTGGTGAAAGACTGGATGTGGCACTCAGTGCCATGGTCTGGTTGACTGGGTGTGCTGGGTCATAGGTTGGACTCGACGGTCTCAGAGGTCTTTTCTAACCTAGTTGATTCTGTGGTTCTGGGGTGGAACGAGATGAACTTTGAGTTCCCTTCCAGCCCAAACCATTCTGTCATTCCATGGAATGCTGTTAGAAATGCATCCTACTGCTCCCTCGTTGCTTCCGCCTTATGACTTGAGCTCCCTTCCTTGTGCACATCCTTCTTGGCTTCTTTCTCTCCACCAAAGTATATTGTGTCTGGCTGTATTCTTCCAACTGTTGAAATGTAGCACTGGATCATGTTTCTCTTAGGTCTGACTTGCGAGTGAGGCTTTGATGCCGAGTGGAGCAGAGGGAAGTTTATTTGAGTAACCTCGGGTAGTGTGGTGCTCTGAGACCACACAGCCATGTCTCATGGCTTCTTGAGCTCTCCCCTGGGGCAGACGAGCTCATATGAGCAGGAACACTTTCAAGAGCACTCCTCTCCTTCTAATTCATTTTCCCCTGGGCTCGCCAGTGTTTACATACTTTCAGCTCCATGGCTGGCCTTGAGCCTGCAACTTGTATTTCTTATTTTTTATAATGCCTTCTAAGCAGCTCTTCACTTTTTCCATATCCTTTTGTTCCATCTCTGTGAGCAGAAGTTTTGGAGCTTTCTCTGTTTTGATCATTCCCTTCTGGACCAGTTTTCCATTCCCTGTTGTTGTTAGCTCCTGTGCATGGTAGTCCACGCAGTGGGAAGCCCTATGAATGGATTGTCTTGCCAGGTGACGTGCGCCCATTTCACCCAGCATGGATGGCAGCCAGGCCTTTTGAGGAATTTGGAGCAAGATGATGTGTCTTTACTGCTCATGTGCACTGGCCAGATGCAATTCCAGCTGATGCTGAGGGATGCATCACACTAGTGTCACCCTGAACCTGGCCTGAACATCATGGGGGACAGAGGCATTGCCCTTTCAGTAGACTGTGCTCCTCTGCCCCTGCCAAGGGAGTCCTTGAGAGAGAAAAGGTGTCCTGGGAAAGTGCAGAGGAGGGCTGCTGAAGCATGTTCCCTTGCCCTGTCCTGCCTGGGGCTGGATGGCTGCTGGAGCCCTCCTTGGCAGGGGGACCAGTCACAGGCCCAGGTGTTGGAGATGTCTGCTCTTCCCTTATTTCGGGGCTCCCCTACATCAGGTGTGAAAAGAGCATAAGCTGTGCCCTGGTGTTGCAGATGAGGAGCCCAGCCAGCTGTCTCCATCTCCTGCCTCCAGCAGTGACAATAGACATATGAAAATCAGGAGGGAATTTCCTCCTCCCTCTGCCCCCATGGCCTGGCTGTGCTGGTAACAGGAAAAGCAGACTTAAAGATTGTTTTGACCCTGATGGACATGCTCTGGAAAGTGGATGTGACCGCCAAGCTCTCCACATCCATCACCATGATAAGCATTGGCCAACATCTTGTCCTCTTTCTGCTGTCCAGGGAAAGGGAGAGGGGTTCTCTCCACGTGCCGGGGAAGCTCTCACCTCGTGCAAGTCCTGCAGCAGGTACCATTATGGAACAACCTTGGCAGGGAAGCTGGAGCTGAAGGGCTTCCTTGCCATCCTCCCTGGACTGATGTGTCTTAGAGTAAACTGTGAACTAGGGAAGTCATGGGTCTCTTGAGCCTTTATCTGTCACTGGCTGTGGATGCACTTTTCTTCTGTTGGAAAGAGAAACTTGGGTCCTAAACAAAGTTAACCAAGACTGCAGCTGTCTTTCTGTACCAGAGTGACCTCAGCCCTGTCAGTCTTCATTACTTCCATGTAAATATCTCAGAGCTAATGGACTTGCTTCAGATACTTAGAGTGCTGTAAACTTGGGAATAAGCCAGTGAACTCTTCCCTGGAATTTTGGGTAACTTTGGTTCATGTAACTCGAGATGCAAGGATCCACATTTCTGCAGGGATGGAGAACTGTAAAAATGACTTACACTAAAGCTGAGTATAAGCCAGCTGAGGCTCTAGTCCTGGAGATATCATCAGCAAGGTGTGTAACCCCTTAAAGCCTCTTTCATTAGGTAGAGACATACTGACCTGTACTGGGACTCTTTCTTGCTGGGAGAACCCCTCTGTCTAGTGTTTTCTTCTGTGGTTTCAGAGTCTCTTTCTGGCTCGTTCTACTGGCTGTCATGGTGACACACAATGTGAGAAAGGCAGATAAATAGTGTGAATGCCACACAGGCAGTGAACTTCCTGAGTGACAGCTCCAGGGAAGGGACGCTGCAGGGCCCGCTCGGCAAATAAAATCAGGACAAGAATAACAGTCGCTTTAGTCGTATTAATAACTTCCTCTGGTCTCGGGGATAGTGCTGGGGAGGAACAGTATCACAGGGGACACTGAGCTACTGCTGTTACTGTTGCTGCAGAGCCTCATGAAAGGATCATCTGTAGATTTTGATCTTACATTAGTCATGAGTGAAAAGCGGCTTTTTTTGGAACACTGAATAGATTTTCACCAGTCTAACAAGGTATTCCTGTGACTGACATTTGAAGAGTTCTTCTAAAGTTTAGTACTTTTTTTATTTAAGGAAAAAAAAAAAGAAAGTGATTCTTAAGGGTGTTAGTGTGAGTGTCCCTTTTGAGTCACTAAGTGGAAGAACTGTGGAAATGCTCTGAAATCTGCATGTTTTTTGAGGAATATGGGGTGCTCTGCTGCAGTGAGAACACCCGTGAGGAGGCTGGAGCTCCATCCCAGAGATGGGGGTGCCTGGGGATCTGAGAGTGCAGTGAAGGAAAGAGAGAGACTCTTCACCCCATTTAAATTGTATTTTTGCTTGCTGAGCACATCCAGTTTTCTGATGGTGTGTTTAACCCCTCCAGGTCCTCAGATCTAGTCACTGATCAAATCTTTCCATCCTCTCCCCCGTTTTCTCTCTCGTTGCAACCCTGTAGAACAGTTCTGTGTGGCTTTTAAACGCTGGAACTTCACCAGGCTTCTGACTATGTTTGGGAGAGACCTTGGACAGATGCCACAGAGACCTAACACTGTAAAATACTTCACAGTATGCTTGATAAATATGGCTATTCCAGATAACAAAGCATGGGGGGAATTCAACTTCCTAGCCGATCCAAAGGAAATCAGTGTGCCATTGTGCAGTGGTGGTTCTGCACGGGAACAAAAGGGTTGCATTTCCAGGTCATTGGTCCTGATAAAAGCCTGATGAGGGACAGCTGGCTGGGATGTTTGAGCATGAAGGGTTTATGCCTGGTGGTGTTGGTAAAGTGTGGGGGAGACCCCGGGAGGTTGGCTGGTACCCAGAGCTGAGCTCAAGTGCTTATCGCTGGCACTAACAGGAAGATGATTGCTGCTGGGACAGCTTCCATGGAGCTCTTGCTGCAGGCAGGTCAGCCTGGCAGGAAGGCTGTCCTCTGGGAGATCAGATAACTGACTGACCCTCCATCCCTGCACTGCCCTCAGTGGGGTAGGATAGGCAGTGTTAAGTATTGTAGGCAGAGTGGACAAATTCTTAAAGCTACCTGTTTTTCAGGTGGAGACTGGGGCATACTCCTTGCATTGAAGAGGATGGCAACCCTGAGCAACAGCTTCCCCATGAGGGGAAGAGGAAGGGCAGGCACTCTGCAGGACCCAAGGGAATGGCATGAAGCTATGTCAAGAGGGTTAGATTGGATATTAGACGGTGGTTGGGCACTGAACAGACTCCCCAGGACTGTGGTCACAGCCCCAAACCTGCCAGAGCTCAAGGAGTGTTTGGACAAGGCTCTCAGGCACATGATGGGATTGTTGGAGCTGTCCTGTGTAGGGGCAGGGGTTCGTCTTGATGATCCTTGTGTGTCCCTTCCAACTCAGGATTCTACGAATCCTATATTCCAACTGTAATTCTGTGAACCCTCTTGGCCCTGTGCCTTTACCTCCCTTTTTTGTTTTGGTGCCATGGAAGAACTGAAGATGCTTTTCTCGTGTGCTTTGCCTGTCACATTGGAACAGTTTTCTCTGATCTAGAAAAAAACAGGAACACTTTGTCTAAAGGGTGTTAAAGGGTTGTGCTGATGACAAAAACCCCGGGTTGTTCAAACTATTTGAATTCCATCACCTCCTGTGCAGCATGTGCGTGGCTGAGAGCCAATGGCAATATAAACCATGGTGGTGCATCTCTTCCCTGTCCTGGTGGTGCCTTTGGGCTGCTTTCCCCAAAGCTGTGCACCCAGTGCTGAGAGGTGGTCAAACCATACCAAGGTCAGCTTCTTTCATTCTGCCTCTCTGTGTGGAGAGTTTTCCCCAGTCCTGGTCCCCTGGTATTTCTTTTCCCCCCCACGGTGTAAAGCATGCAGAACTATGGCTGCACGCAGGCAGCATGGGCACGTGTAATGAAGGAGAGGCATTTCCTTTGATTATTCAAGGCTGAGCTCTGTGTGTGTGTGTGTAAATCTGAATGACCTTTCTTCTTTTCACAGGCATAACGTGGGGCAAGGTGGTGTCTCTCTATGCCGTGGCAGCGGGGCTGGCAGTGGACTGTGTGCGGCACGCGCAGCCAGCCATGGTTCACACCATCGTCGACTGCCTGGGAGAGTTCGTCCGCAAGACCTTGGTGACATGGCTGAAAAGGAGAGGAGGCTGGGTAAGAAATGCTGTCTGATCAAACTTACTTCTGCATGTGCAGGCCAGAAAATATCCTGATTAATGAAAGCGCGAGTGTCCCTACTGCAGCTTTATGCTGAAAAAGGCTGTGTGAGATTCTCTTCCACAGCCCTGTGGCCACCTCTGTCCTACTTACACCTTGCTAGGCTTACATAGCTCTGTTACTGGTCCTACCCTGTGTAGCTGAGCCACAATAATTCAATCCTGACCCACCAGCACCTATTCTCTTCCTGATCTTCTCTGGAGCTAACAGCCAGTCATAGTGGGAGACTGTAAATAGGGGTCATTTCAGTGAGGCCCTGGCACAGGTTACCCAGAGAAGCTGTGACTGCCCCATCCCTGCAATTGTTCCAGGCCAGGTTGGACAGGGCTTGGAGCAACCTGGTCTAGTGGAAGGTGTCCCTGCCCTTGGCAGGGGTTCGAACTAGATGGTCTTTAAGGTGTCTTCCAACCCAAGCCATTCTGTGATTCTCTTGGCCAGCTGCTTTCCAGAAACTGAAAAAAAATGAGGCTTTCGGACTTAATTCTCCTTTCACCGTTAAGCGTCTGATTTCTTTGGTCTCTCTATACCCAATGGGAGCGTTGGCTCCTGTGGAGGATTGTTCAGAGAAAGAACTTTACTTTGGTCCTGTGGAATAGCCAGACACCTTTCCAGTGACTTTCCCAGCAGACTGGGATGACTGGCTGGCAGCTGGGTGGTGCACGTATGTACCAGGTTCTGTGTGCCTGTCTGGCAGGGACATGGACACTCCTTGGAGCGATAGAGCCCAAAGTGCTAAATATTGCCCTATGACACCACTGAGCTCATGGGACGTCGTGTTCCAAAGGCATGTGCTCTTTCCAGACTGAGCCACGGCAGCAAATTCCCTCTTTTTCAAGAGGTGAAATTTATTTCCGAGCCAACAGGAAATGGTCAGGCACCCCACCCACACAGACCCGGAGAAGGGGGACATCTTTTTCCAAACTGAGTATTGCTCCTCTGTGCTAAGACTTCCCAAGTGTGCCTGTAGCTGGTTCGGTCACCTGATTTTTCCAGGAGTGAAGGCACCTTTTTGGTGAAGAGCAGTGGATCCCTTGCACTTACTAAGTACCAATCCTACCTTAAATCATCCCTCCCCTCTCTAAAACTGTGTCACCTTGGGGCCAACTGACTCAGGTGACTGTTTGGTTGGGCTAAAAGCAACCTTTGATTTGAATGCGCTGATCTATTCCATTTTGCATCCACACAATTAATTGTGCCGCGGCAGGTAAAGAGGATATCCTGGGATTAAGTAACACTGTTCCTGCCTGTGAATACCTGTCCCTGCCTCAGTGTTATTTGAAGCTTATTTTAACTGCATACCTGTAGAGCTGCTTGAAATGTGTTCTCTGAAACAATTTTTCCTTTGGAAAAGATCCAGTTTCATTAAAATGGAAACATTGCGTAGGAACGTGTCTCCTTCTAGTTCCCAACTATGTTTTTTCTTTGTTTTGGTAAAACCTGCATGTTCTGATAAGTTAGCATCTTGTTTTAAGTTTTGTATTACTTCATTAGAGTTCAAAACAAGGTGTTTGGATAGTTCCAAAAGGATATTTTTGGAAAGTTTGTTGCAGAGCAAACAAGCTTCAAAACAAGCTCCGACAAGGGTATATTTGCCCACCAGAAAGGAGGGGTCCCTTCAAATCTGGGGAAAAGCTACTAATCTTCCTGCCATCTTGTGCTGTGCTCCCCTGAACGTTCTTCCCCTTGATCTAGGCACTGCAGCAAGGTATTTCCCAGTTTTGTTCACTAAGGGGCCAGCCAGACCAAACAGCTCTATCATGGGGACCCTCTTGCTTGCTGCCTGGCCTAGCTGGTGTTAGTTTGTCTTGGCACAAAGTCCTTGTTTCTCCTGTGCACATGGCTCCCATCAGCTCAGATGGAGGCTGCCAAGAGTAACCACCGTGCCCTGAGCTGGTCCAGAAAAGCCACTGTGGAGACCTTGAAAAGGCATTTGAAATTCTCCACTCAGCAGCAGGTTCCCATGCTGGTTCCACAGGGTGGAGAAGACCCTACCCCACAAAACCCAACTCAAACCTCTTTGGAGGAACGAAGAAAGTTTGAGGCATCATCTCTCCCTGTGGAGAGTTTGCAGCCTCAGTAGTGGCTTCACAGTAGAATAGAAAGATTTTAATTTTCTTAGCAGCATTTGCTACAAAGCAGTGCATGTGACTTGAACTTGTTTGAACAATTAACACAGAAGCTCAAACTGCCATTGCAGCAGTTTATCAGTGCCTGACAAGGCTCAAAGACCTGCTTTATTAAGTAGCTTTGAAGTTTTCAACTCCAGTGCCTTATCAGGTATGCTTGATTTGGATAAGAGCAGCTAAGGCAATTGTTATACAGCTGAGCAATTTTGCTTATCTAAGCAAGCCCCATACAAATTTGTAAATGCTTCTGAGTGTAGCTCCTCTTGGTTAGAGCAGTGAACTCATTGTCTTTGGGAGGACATAGCTGGGCTTTAAGGAGTTCACATTTCCTCATCTGGCAGTTAACCCTCTGCAGCTGTAATCAACCTAGTGTGCATATTTGGGCCTTGTACTGGCTCACATGAGGCACTAAAGTCCTTCACAGCTTATGTTTCTCATGGATCAGGTACCCTAACGTACATGTTCAGACAGCTGCCTGCACATCGTGACTTCTCTCGACTGAAGGGACAGTTTGACACATCTTTGTCTTAGACATGACACTGTGCAGGTCACTAAAATTGAATAGGCTGAATCAGTTTTTTTAAAATGCAAGTAGGGCAAGTGTGCTAAGCCATCATTGAAAGTGTTTAGGGAGATCCACTTTGCTTTCCTCCACAATACAGATAAAGTACCTGTAACCACACTGCAGCATCTTCTGTTAGCTGCCTTGGCTGGGTGCTACGTTTGCTCGTGTTTTTTTGCTGTAAGCAGCAGCATTTCCACACCTTGGTGCTGACTCAGCTTCCTCCTGTCATCCTGTTTCTTCCCATCCCTACGTGCCTGTATTCATTCCTCCTGCAGTCTCTGCTTGTCAGTTATTCACGGGCTCAGCATCTCCTGATGCTCCCAGGAGATCAGCAGTGCGGGGAGCTGCAGCATGCCAGCCTTCCAGACACTGTGGGGGAGGAACTGCTGGAACACGTGGCTGCTCTCAGCAGAGCTTTGATCTGTAGGTGATGAAGGGCTCGGTTACTGTGGCTGTGCTCACTGACCAGCTGCCGGCATTTGTCCCTTCAGCCGCCTTTTGCTTCCTTCTAATAATGATCAAAGTTGCTGAGGTGAGGCTCACCCATGTCTTCAACACAGGCAGAAGGACTGGAGAAGATTATTGGGGTATTCATCATCTCTCATGTCCTGTTTTGGGGATGAACATCTCAGGGTTTAGAGCCTGCACTCCCTGTTACTCAACCACAGTCCACATCTCCTTGTGCTAAGCTGAAGTTTAACCACAACTCAGTTATATCACTGGCAGAGCTTCTAATTTTGATTCCCCCACCAGAAAATGCAATTTTCTTTCTACCTCTGTCCTGTTCACTTTACCCTCCAGGTATTTTCCACCTTCTCCTCCCTATGCCAGGTGAGAGCCTGTCTTCATCAATTTGCTGTGGTGTTGTTATTTTTTATTCATTCCAAGCCAGCTTCTCTTCTTGTTAACACTTGAAACCAGCAGCCCAAGCGATCTTCATATCTGACCCACGCGTCTGGGAGGCATCTCTGCCAGCACACATATTTCCACACACAAAGCTTGCATTGCTTTAGGTCTAAATCAGGGGTTGACTTGCTTGCTTGTCTTCCAAAGAAAACACTAAGGCAAGAGAAAAAGTGCAAGCAACTTGAGCTGATATTAAACAGGACAACCTCTGGGAAGCATCTGGCTTTACAGAAAAGGATGGGAATGCTGATACTGCCAAAGTTTCCTAGACCTTTCAAACAGGGAAAGAAAGTTGTATTTAGCTATTCAAAATGGAAAATGCTGGACAATCTTCCTGTCCAGCATTTCTTTCCTCAGTGGTGGCTGAAAAGGGGGACACTTTGCCTTGTTGGGGAGTGAGGAAAGTGTATTTTGCAGGGCTCTTGGGCCTTATTTAATAACTTTTGGTGTGTGGAAGGATCAGAGCAAGCATCTGGTGCTGCAGCAGCGGTGCTGTGGGGCAGTGGTGCTATGGGTTGTGGGGCTGGGAGAGCCTGCAGTGGTGGCTGATGTGGGCACCTCTCTCTGACGATCTCTCTTCCCTCCTCATTAGGCAGACATCACAAAATGTGTGGTGAATACTGACCCCAGCCTTCGCTCCCACTGGCTCGTGGCTGCTGTTTGCAGCTTTGGTCACTTCCTCAAGGCCATCTTCTTTGTCCTGCTGCCTGAGAGATGAGTCCAAGTTGCCAAGTGCACCCCCCTGCCCCATCTCCTCCCCCACTCCGCAAGCAACAAGTGACTGGAGAAGTAATTCCAGATTGGTAATGGCAATTTCTGAAGAGGAGGAAGAGAAGAACTGGGACAAACAAAAGGCTTGTTTTCCTCTGCCTTCATCTAGGAGCAGATCATCAACCACTGTTGCTCCTTTTGCAGCCACAGGAGCCTCTCTGACCATTAATTCTTTCAAGAGTCTTGTTTCCCTGGGTAACTTGCATGTGTGGCCTGGATGTTGCCAGTCCCTGGGCATGCTGATGGCAGCCACGTGCAGCATGGAATGTCAGATGTCTGTTCCTTACAGCTGTGTTGCACGGTTATGCTAGTGCCAGGCAGAGGGGAGGAGGAAGGGAATATTATTTGAAATGGGATAAGAAAATAGAAGAGGGGGAGAGTCCCTCCTTCACTCCACGTGATTCCCCTTTCAGTCCTCCGACTTGCCTTGTGTTAATTCTTGTCGTTAGGTTTGTGCTTAAAGTTCATCTCCTTTATCCCTAACTGACTTGCTGGGCTCTGCCCCAGCACAGCATGGTGGGTTTTTAACAGGATAAAACCAAACACTTTGTCAACAAATGCTTCTCCCTCACATGAGTTGGAAATCGTTCCGAGTAGCCGTGTGAGGGGCAGGATGAGAAGGCAGTTGCACGTGATGCAGCATGACAGTGTGTTTTGTTGACCCCTCTTACACTCACACACCGTTCAAACAGGAGAGCGAAGGGCAACGCCTTCAAGCAACAACTCGGGATGGAATTTCATCATGAAGAGAAATGGTTTTTCCACTGAGATTTTGTTGGAGCTAAGCATGTAAGTAGGAAAGGCCAGGGGGCGTGAGCAGAAATAGGGAAACAGTAAGTGAACTGGCTGGCATTGTGAAGGGGGTGACCTGTGGCAAAAGTAGCTGATGTATGTTTCTCTTTTAATCTCTTTGGAAGTACAACTTGCAGTCTTCTTTGTGGCAAACAATAAAAGAAATAGGTGGTGTTTCACTATTGCACAGGCTATTGTATTTGTTTCCAGAGTTAACAATTCCAAAAAAGGCCAGAACAGTGCAGAGACAAACACTCTGGCCATGCTAAAAATACTTCAGCTTTTCCCCTGGTGGAGCATGTTAACGTGTTAAAACTACAACTCACCCAGTTCATGCCTGGAATTTAACCCATGTTCTTGCCATGTCAGAAATGTGCTGTTTTCACCAACAGATGTAGGGCCTTACTAACATCAGCAGGGAAAGGCTGTGGAGCCTCTTCTCTGCCAAAGCCTCACGGCCCTGCTCAATGCCTTTCTCCCAGGAGTGTGGCAATAAACACAGAAAAAAACCCTTCTGGATTGAGAACATGTGGCACTATGGGAGGTTTTGCTGGTTTTTTTTCCTGATTTCTCTCCCAAATATTTAGAGGGGTTTTACTCTTCCATACGGGAGTTACAAAGGTGTTTGAGAATAAAGCAGAGCCTTGATTTTTGGTACTGTCTGTGGGCAGGATCTCTGCTAGCTGTTAGCAGTGCTGTGCTCTGACCAGCAAAAACTCTAGCAGAGGATGTGTAGGGATTAGATCCTTGGGCATTCATGCTTTTGGCTGCTCTAGCTCTTTGCACTTTGGCTGATGCCTTGGTGTATGGGTACTGGGCCCAGCTTTAGCCCTAGTGCATCCCCAGTGAAGGGTGCTATACCAGCTTGGTCTACAAGTACGTTTTCAGTAGTAAAGCAATTCTTGTGGGTCAAAACCCTTAATGGGCAACCTCCCCCAATCCACAGTCTCCCAACAAAAACACTCACTGACAAGGAGAGAGCCTTGCATTCCATATCAAAGCTAGTGGGTAGGGAGACCTTGGGATGAGTTAAACTGACAAGTTCCCAGTGTGGATGCAGCTGATGGTGCCCTGAGGCTGGGGCATTTTAATGTATGTAAAGGTTGCAGCAGTTCCCCAAATAATCCCAAACTGCCAAAAGAATATTTAATTTTTTTTCCCTTCCTGATGTAATTATATTGGCATTAGAGGTTTTGCTGGCACCCCTTACAGCTGGGATTTTCTTCCTTAGATTCTTGGTAGATCCGGCTATGGAAGTTTAGAGCAGGTACAGAACACATAGTGAATTACACTACTCACTTTTGAGCAGCAGAGAGAGGATCCCCTCCTGTCTGCAACAGAGGCATGAAAAGCTCTGTAGTCCACAGCAGGGGGATGCAGCTGTGTTGTCCTAATGGAGCTTGTGGAAAAGTAGACTTTGGATTTCTGGAAGTACCCTGGTTGTGTGCAGGCTTTGGCTTGGACAGCTTCACAACTCATCAAGTCCAGCTTGCCTTATCACACCTTGTGTTTTATGGAGTGTATGGGAGTTACTGAAGCAGCACAGTCTGACACTGGGACTGGCAAGACCTCTCTCAATTTAGATGCTGTTTTGAAATGTAATACTTAAGGTTATGGCTGCTTTTTCAGTAAACTAATGATATCGGAGAGAATACTAAGGAACAAAAAGAGTTAAATGTACCAATTAAGTGGATTTAACGAAAAGATAATGGCAAGCCAAATAAAGCAGCATTGCTGGAAAGGAATGTGTGTGGGTGGGAAGGGGGTTACAGAGGCAGACAAAAGCTCAGCCTGGAAACTGCCAATAATGAAGAGGTGATTTTGCTCCCCTCAAATATGTTTCAGACTTCTCTGGCTTTTGTCTGTCTTCTTGCATTTGCTAGTCCCTGCGAAATACATACCGGGGCTGAACGGTGTGTTGCTCATCTTGCACTTGGATGATCTTTTGATCTTCTCACTCCTGTAATAACCACATCAGCAGCAGCCTTGCCACCAAAATAAACAACAAAACAAACAGAATTGCACACACAGCTCTGCATTTGGAAAGTAGCAATCTTGAGCGTGATACAGCCAAGTTTTTAGGTTGTGTTCAGTCCTAGCTGTTATGTTTAGGCGTTTCAGAGTATTTCCAGAGGTCCTTTACAGTCTCAACAATTCTGGGGCTCTGTGATTTTTCTATTCCCTCTTCTCTTTTGGCCAGTCCTACCTGATGGGAGACATCAAGTTGGTTGTTTATCGCCCCAATAAACATTTTCCTTTTAAATGATCGGTGAAGGTCCTAGGAGTAGGTCTAATTTATTTAGTTGTTAAAGAAAACCAAGAAAAAACAAGTACCAAAGTTAGTACTGTAGTACTATTGTGCTGCTCCATACCAAAAGCCAGCATCAGAATCTGAAAACATCCAAACTAACCATGTCATCCTTTTCCCCCAATGTGCTTCCAATGATCTGCTTGAGAACACTGCTTGTAGTAAAAGCTGCCTTCATTTTTTTTAAGCTGTTTTCCTCGCACTGAATGTTCTAAGTGAGACTTAGCTACACACAAACCATCTTGGGGGTTGCTCCCTGTCCCCAGTGACCTTTCAGTCCAGTGTTTTTGCTGAAGGGCAGCAGTCACGGGGGGGGGGGTGGTGCAGACCTCTTCTCAGCACGGGGACATGTGGCTGTTGCTCACCCTATTAGGCACACATAAAATCCAGATGGGCTTTAGCTGTCTTCTTGCTGTCCCACCAGAAAAACTGGAAGCATAGGGAAAAGATGAGGCAGGGTCAGGTGGAGGTGTGGGAAATGACTAGGAAGAAGCGGGAGGAGGGAGAACGGGTTGGATGGAGATGGGGAAATGGCATATAGTATTTTTGTGGTTATAGAGCCTTTTGCAGAGGAGATTGGCCTGTGTGCTGTAGCAGTAGGGAATGTAAGGGTCCGGAGAGTAGTGCCTGGAGGAACCTGAGCCTCAGCTCTCCTTTGTTGACAGAAGAACTCGCCTCCAGCAAGGATTATCCCACCATCCTTCACCTCCGGCGCCAACCTCATTCTCTGTTTGTTTATAGCAGACCTACATAGAAATACCTGCTTTATCACAAAGGCGAGGAGCAGAAAAGCTGTCTTGGCTTGGAAGTTTCAATGATGAGCATTTGACAGTGCTTATCCTGTCCTAGACATGATCTTGCTCCAGTCACAGCCTGAGTTGTACCTCTCCCATATCAAACACTGGCAGCAGGTTCACCTTCTTCAAAGCAACTGAAGAAAGTGGTCTCGGTCTTGCAGCAGATGTCACCTGTGTTCCTGCAGTGCTTTTTCTCCTGCAAACAGAAAGAAAAGTCTGAGAAAGAAAACAGTCTGTGAAGCCGTTAATTTATCAGACTTGCATCTGTATTACAGACCAAAGTACAGAACAATAGCGACAGGGAGTGAGATTGAAGTTTCCTGGGAAATTGCAACACCAAACTTCCTCATTTTCAGAGTTGTTCTTTAGACTCTGAGAAAAAGCTCTGCCTGTTTTTTTCTTTTATTCTCCTTTTAATGTGCAAAGTCTGCAAGTGGGGGTTTTTTTGGTGCACAATTAAACTGAATATGAAGCAGATTGTAAGTCCTTTAGACGAGTTTCTGAAAAGATCAGTCCCCGAAGGCGTTCCAACAGCTTTGCCAAGAGCCTTCTTGATGTGGCTCTTGTCAATGTGTGTCCCCTTGAATTTCTTCACTGTCATCGTTTTTTTAAGTCTACTATTTATAATTTTATAGGCATAGATTTGCCACAGATTAATTATTCTCTTAGGGCAATGTGAAAACAATGCATGCTACTAGATTAATGACAAGAAAACAGCAATTTAATGTACTGCTGGCTGACTCTATAAATTTCTCCTATGCAAGTGGTTTGACAGCTGGAGTTTAAATACTCGCTCTGAAAAGCCTGTAACCTCTTTAACTCTAAACATTTTGACCCACTGGGATTATGAGCCCCCAGCACAGCTAAACAGAGCGATCCTTGATTGAACTTTACACCGTCACCAGGACCTGGAAGTGCACTGCATGTTCAAGCAGAGTCTGTGGGAAATAGAGTGCCCCTGGGTCAATCACACGACATGAAGACCATGTCCAGGCAAGGTCAGATGAAAAAAAAAAAGCTTCCCCTTTCACAGAATTTAAAAAATAAAGACTTGGGAAGGGAATTTCCAGCTTCCTTACAAGCATATTTCAGAGCTTTAACTCAGGAGAAATTTCATCTCTTTGCCCATAGACCAGCAGACAGCACCAGAGCTTGTCTTCTCCATCACTGCAGGAAGACTTGCTGATACATCTCTACTGGCGTCAAATACAATCCCCTGTTGTTTCAAATTTCCACTTCTAGCCCTATCTTGTGACGTTCACCGTTGCTTTTGTTGAGCTCTGTGTTTAAGCAAGATAAGGTGTGTTTTCTATTCCCCTTCCCCTGCTGAATGTGACTCGTGCTGGGATTGCTCTTGAGACCCTTTCAGTCATCTGAAGGGCAACTGGTTTGGACTTTGGAGGACTATGGGCAGCACCAAGGACCTTCAGTGTCACTAATCTGATGGGAGCTGAGAGGATGGGCCACTTGGCAGGACCAGCCCTTGCAGTGTCTCACCTGACTCTCATTAGGCAGGAGCTGGAGATCCTGCAGCCGGTCCCTGCTATGCAGATCCATTCTCCCACTGCTCTGTGGCTCTGTTCAGGCAACATCAAGCCACCTGAAAGTTGAAGTCCTCTCAATATCATGGTGTTGCCTTTTTACTCCTAACATGGAGGTGCTACTTGGGGGCTGTTCAGTAGTGACCACGGGGACAGTTTGTTCCCATTTCCCACCAGAGCTGAGCCTGGATTTTCTGGTAATCTAAGAAGGGGATTAAAGCCCCCCCCAAAATAGCCTTTTATTTTGATCTCCTTGGCACTTCAAAAGAACAATTAAATCACTCTTAAGCTGCTAGAACATACTTTGCTCTCAGTTCCTCAGCCAGGAATGGCCAGTCTGTCCTTTTTAAGCCTGGCAAGCATCTGCCAGCTAACTCTCCTTGTGCTGTCAGCTTTCCCTCTCAGTTCACTGGCATTGCTCCTGAGCAAAGGTGTCTGACCCCCATGGTCACCTGACTCAGCAGGTTGTTTTCTCCCCCAGAGAAGGCAACTCCATGCAAACCATGTGGTGGCTACAGCAGAGTCAGCTGTTTCCCCGAAC